AAATTGATATAACGGTCTTCCTGGTACTGTAAATGCCGTTAAGGGTTTAGATTCCGTACTAAGTGGAATTTGCCATTTGTCAAGGGGTATGCATTATCCACACCGTTATCTCCTCTACTATTAATCTCTAAAGATCCGATAATATTAGGGGCGAGTTCAAGGCTTTCCAAAAATCATGACCTAATATTAATTTCTGTTTAATGCTAGGAATTATATACAGTTTTATAAATCGCTTGTCGTTTTTGTATTGTAATTCGACATCGAGCAAACCTATAATAACTTGGTTTTCCCCGCCAGCCATTTTAGCGCTGGATCTAATGGGTTTATATTGGGAAAAGTTCGTAAAATCTTGCAGTGCCAAGTCATTTCCAATGCAGCTTATGTTAGCACCGGTGTCTAACAAACCTAGTTCTGTGCAATTCAAAAATGACACTTCTGCGTAACTTCGCAAATCTTTGGAGTTATCAAAAATAGTAGCAATATGTAGTTTCTCGTTTCTCTTAATTTACGCATAATATAACCGTAACCTACGGATGCGTCTACTTCTTTTAGATTCATTATCATTGAAGATACGATTCCGAACTTTCTTATAATTAATTAATTTATCTTCTTAAGGAAGCAAATATAACGGAACAGAATCCGCAACTAAATGGACTTGCTCGGGAGGATTGGTTATTCTGGAATCCCCCGAGTCTGTTGCTGTCTGAGATGCAATAGAACGTACTGGAATGAATGCTTTCTTATTTCATGTTCAATTCTGTGCAATTCAAAAATGACACTTCTGCGTAACTTCGCAAATCTTTGGAGTTATCAAAAATAGTAGCAATATGTAGTTTCTCGTTTCTCTTAATTTCCGCATAATATAACCGTAACCTACGGATGCGTCTACTTCTTTTAGATTCATTATCATTGAAGATACGATTCCGAACTTTCTTATAATTAATTAATTTATCTTCTTAAGGAAGCAAATATAACGGAACAGAATCCGCAACTAAATGGACTTGCTCGGGAGGATTGGTTATTCTGGAATCCCCCGAGTCTGTTGGTGTCTGAGATGCAATAGAACGTACTGGAATAAATGCTTTCTTATTTCATGTTCAATTACGTTGGCAGGGGACTCCGAGCGTTTTGGGGGACCCCCAGTCTGCGGTTTTCCAGTGGTTTTTTACGCATTTGGAGCACTGGGGCTTATATACATTTACCTTTCCACAACCGTAACAAAAGATTCGGGGCGGTGATTGACAGTTCTGCCAAATATGGCCAATCTCTTCACAGTTCCAGCATTTAATCTTGGAGCTATACATAGCGTCTACTTCTGCTTCTGCTTGCGATTCTTCTAACAAGTTCAAGCTTTCTTCTTCAACAGCACAGATCTGTCGACGATTAACTACTGACTTCTGCCTGGGCAAAGATTCGTAACGCGAGTTTATCTCATAAGATAAGTTCTCCTTCATCTGAACTAAGCGACGTAATTGCCCTACCGAATGGACTGGCTGATAAAGTAATCTGTCTCTGGTTTTCGGAAGCAGATTTTTCTTTAAAATTTCTACCAGCTCTTCATCATCAATTCGAATAGATGCATTGTCTCTAAGGGTCTCTACTGATTCATAAAATACTGAAAAGCTTTCTCCGATTTTCTGTTTGCGGGCTCTTATCCACTCCATACTCATGAACGAGGATCGATGACCTTTATAATGTTGACGAAGAGCGGCACTCATATGGGATCTCCAAAACCATGACTTAGCTTTTTCAGTAAATAATACATGGATGTGATTACACATGTTGTTGAAATCATTGTCCAACGTCTTCTTGGTCAGTAAAATAATTCTAAAAATGAATTCCTCAACTCCTAAACCATCTGCGGATCCATAAAAATGTACACCCCATTTCTGCATGGTATCGATTGTATATCGAGAATGGCTTTGAGAATTACTGAATGTGGGTGAGTTTCCAATTGTGGTGTGTTCACCGACATGGACGACATGACTCTAGTGATCGTTTGTTCTATCATTTCGAGAAGATCTGGTGGCAACACCATCTCCCGGGTTGGTACTTTGGCTACCATCTAAGGCTGAAGGACTAACTTCGCCATTTGTACGGTTTTGATTTTCGTGTATATTGGGATTTTCGCCAAATGCCAACGCTCTGGCACGAGTCCTAACGCCTTGATTAGCTGGTTCAGCTGGAGGCGCAACTTGCTGAGATCTTGGTGGCGAACAATTGCCTACCACTAGCCTAAGCTCATCTCTATCAATGTTAACCATACAAGTAAAACATGTAGTACTTTCCGTCAACCATGCTTCTATGCAATTTGTATGAAAAACATGTCCACAAGAAAGTAAATAACACGAATGCGTGTTATCAATTAAAGTATCACATAAAGGGCAATTATTGTCCTCAATTGCCGATAAGGCATGTGGAGGGGTATGACCAACGGGCAATAAATTACTTTATTTTCCTAAATTTGACTTAAATTTGCAACTAAAAAAAATTCGGGAGTATCCAAATCTAGCAGTATTCACTTAATTTAAAACGAATCTTCCGGGTTATTGAGACTAATTGATGAATTTAACTACCCAGATGTCATTCTCACTATCAGTTTCGGTTCGGCAAGTAAAGTATGGTGACATATTTACGAGTTCCAAACTCCAGTTACCTAAGCGAAAAAAAACAATCTCCAATCATCAATAGAAATTCATCTTAGCGGATGCGTTTGGGAATCAGTCTTTGTCTCGTTTTATAATGAAGGGAAAGTATAACCTAACAAGGTAATCGAGTACTGGCATCTGATCTTAGCCGAATGTGCAATATTCTCAAGACTACCTAAGCTAGGAATCTTATCCGTGCATTAAAACTAACTGAACTAATGTCCCCAGCACGAAAGCAAACGAGCAATTATTTTGAGTACTGGATTTCCATATATGGTCTAGGCCATTGGTGTTCTAGCTTCTGTTACTTAGATCTTTTACTGAATCTCATCTGTTATCCTAGTCTGAATAATCAGATTCGAAAAACTAGTAGCAGATCTTTCCCCCTAAAAAGACCTCGCTAGTCTAACTTACTTCACCCGTAGTGATACACGGATATTTAAAAAAGAATATAACTCACAAAATTCGGGATAAGTGGGGTGACATTATCTTGTCATGACTTTCGCGGCTGCCTGCGCAGCCTTCGCTGCCCCACGTTGGGCGTCAAAAAGAATATGTAATGGTGGATGTGTATGTGGAGGGGAGCGGTATATGAAGAATGCTCCGGGCCTATGCTATAAACTGGACAGTTGGCCCTTCCTGGTTTGGGAATATCGGCGGGCGGAATCCTCTTGTGCCTAAGCTCATTCGGCGATGGGGTGGGTTTGTTGCCGTCCCTTACCATATTCACATAACTTTTAGTTTACGGAAACTACAAAAGGAGAACTTAACTCTCAAAAAAAATATATATCAAAGGTCAATAACAATTACTAATATACAAATAAATGCAGAAAAGGGTGGACTGCTAGATAAGGAAATCGACGTGAGGTCTTAGATGGTATTTGACTCTCGTTGTCGCTCTTTACCCAACCCAACCGTGATCTTCTATAACAATTTTTTTTTTTAGAAGATACCCAAAGATTCCTCCGAATTTCTCTAAGTTGCCATGTCAATTCAGGAAAGCATAAAAATTAGCACTTCATAATTTCCGATTTCAAAATTCACAATTTACTAGATCCAATAACTTTCATAATCAAATTAAACAATAAGGAATAGCTACAAGTCATCTTATCTCCTAGTGAGTGGTTTGTCTGATTACATTCAAATATTCTTTTTCTTCTTAAAGATTTTCTTAACGTCTTAATTACTTATGATTGTTCCTTATCGTCGTTTCAGGGAAGCGTTAGGATTGAGGAGAATGTGCAATAATATTATAAGGTTTAAATTATGGTTCTTGTTTTTCTAGATTTAATTTGTGAAAATAAATGTAGTAAATATTTTTTTTTTCAATATGAATTCGGGATCGACTCAAATTTTTGAGAATATAACTACAAAGATCCTGTTCCTCGAGAACTAGTGAGATGTTCAAGAGGGGGCTTAGCTGAGGCACCCAGGCGGGTCGCAGGTTGCGGATAGCGAACGACCTTCTTCGTAAGGTTAGTTGTGAATAAGCGCAAGCTAATAAGCAACCCCGGACAAACAGCGGGTACACCGAAGTCGGTGTACTGATAAGACGCTTGTTTGGCCGTCTTCAAATTGTAGCCTCACATACCCCTCTTCCCTCACAATTACCTACCAACTTCCCCTCCCACAATCTCACTCCGGTGCCGGACTAAGGTGTCATCCGATCCGTGCCGATAGTCAGCCTGGCTGGGGGCCCGGACTAACAACTAGCCCAGTCTCTCACGGAAGGTTCAGGCAAGTGGCGACCGCCTGTCCTAACTATGCCTTACCCGGGTATGGCGGATCTCTGCCCGGGCGGACCCTACATTCTCCGCAACTCATGGGATCTACTATGAGAAAGAACAACATAAACAAGCTACCGCAGGACATCCCTGCCTCGAGTGCCTAGACGACCCCAACAGGAGAGGCCTGCCGGGGTCAAAAACAAAATGGTACTTCAGATACCTCCAGCAGGGCATGTCACCTGACGAGGCACTGAGGAAGGCAAAGGAGCCACGACCAGCGGCCCGAAGTAGTGCACCTTCCAGCAAGCGGGGTAACAGCACCCTCACCCCTCCGACGAACACCCCAAAAGGGGTGGGGCCCAAAGCCAGAGGAGACTTGCACCTCAAAGGCGGCGGCAGCAAGGAGACCTCCCCCTAAGGCATCTGCTGGAACACTCAGCGTACCGAGGGCAAGTGAAGAGCGAAGCAGCCACCCTCCATCTCCACAGCCCCTCTCACTGGCACACACACCTCCTATGCGGAGGCCGCCAGGAGGGTCAGAGTGGCGGTGTTACCTGAGGATTTCCCACAGGTGCACTTGAGCCGAGTTGGAGGAGGCCATCATGGACGACGTAGTCACGTCGGCATGGGACACGGCAGTCGCGTTTTGGGGTACCACTTCAGGGTAGGATACCTCCTCAGCGACTGCCTGGACCAGGACTCAGCGGACTGGCTGAGGGCCGTTGTGCGCTTGCTCAGAACGTGGAAGGGCGTGCCCCTAGAAACCAAGGTGGGAGAAGATATCCCCGCGGCATATAATGTCACGGTCTTCTGCCCCAGAAGCTCGGACAGAAAAAATGAGGAACTTCTCACGATGCTTGGGCGACAGAACAGGCTGGAGACGGATGCCTGGAGAGTGGTCTCCCGAAGGAACGATGGAGACGGAGCACTCCTCGTCATCGGGATCGACCAGCTCACCCGAGACGAGATCGTAGCTAGAGGGCATCAGCTCAACTTTAGGTATGGTACCGTCTCGGTGAGTGGGCTGAGAAAGGCGGCAAAGATGGCCGAAACAGAAGGAGCGCTCTCTGGTCCCCCTGATGGCAAAGTGGAGGTCGAGGAATCCCTCGACGAGCCACAGGAGCCTATGGGTACAGAGGAGGACCCTGGCGCCGTTACAGACGTGAGGAATGAGGATGAGAAGCATCCTACGCCCTCCGACAATAACGACGAAATTGAGGCCGACGTCACTCTGACGGATGGCAGTGGAGGGGAACACCCGCCCCCTTCACCAAAGATGGAGCATCCGCTCCAATGATGGATGCACACAGCAGCACGAGGCTAGCCCAGGTGAACCTACACCGAGCCAAGGCGGCATCAGCCGTCCTAGCCAGGTTATTCACCAACCAACATCTCGGGCTAGCTCTCATACAGGAGCCTTGGTGCAATCAGGGCATTAAAGGCTTTTACACCAAGGAATCAAAGGTAATATGCGACCAACGGGGTGGACACCCCAGAGCATGCATATTAATAAGAAAAGATATCAACTATAATATCTTTTCAGAGTTCCTAAGCAGTGACTGTGTCGCGGTAACTGTGAGCGGCACAGGAAAGTTACCAGCGATCGCCATACCATCGGCGTATTTTGCAGGGGATGCAGCATGCCCACCACCGGAAATCATCGGACTCGTGGAATGCTGCAGGAGGAAGAAGATGCCCCTAATCATCGGGTGTGACGCCAATGCACATCACGTGATATGGGGAAGCATATAGACTTCAACACCGCTAGGGACGCCCCCAAAAGGAATCCCAAAAAGACAAACTGGGATCGGTTCTAGTCCTCTCTTGAGCTCGATCTCTCTAACGAACCGTCAGGTATACCCAGACATTCCTTAGAATTAGATCAGGCAGTGGATAACCTCTGCAAGAAGATAACCAATGCTTTTGAGGACAGTTGCCCTCTTGGCAGACGGAAAGCAGATAGAGACGCCTCATGGTGGAACGACAACCTGGAACGGCTCAGAATCTCCACCCGCCGGCTCTTCAACAGAGCAAAAACGAGCGAGGATAACTGGAGACAATATACACACAGCCTGACGCTCTACAACAAAGAGATCAGGAAGGCCAAACGGAAGAACTACAGAGACTTCTGTGAGGCAATCAGCACTGCCCATGAAGGGGCAAGATTGCACAAGGTTATGGCCAAAGTTGCACCAGAAAGTAACCTAGCCCTGAGGAAATGTGACAACTCTTACAGTTCCGACGATAGGGATAAACTAGCTTTACTCTTTAAAGCACACTTCCCCGGGAGCTCACCCCTGGCGGAAGATACGTCCAACCCAATGGAGGCATCGTCCACTCCAAGACACTTCAGACCAAGCGCAGAGGACGGGGCAATTGCCAAGTCTCTAGTCTCTCCGGAGAGACTTAAATGGGCAATTGGGACCTTCCAGCCATTTAAGTCACCTGGTCTGGATGGTATCTCTCCATCATTCCTGCAGCAGGGACTAGATTTACTCCTAACCCGCTTAAGGAGACTGATGCTAAGCAGCCTAGCAATTGGACACATCCCAAATGCGTGGCGTAGAGCTAGGGTGGTCTTCTTCCCCAAAGCAGGGAAGAAAGACATAAAAAAACTAAAAATATTTGTTAATTGTCTAGTGCTGAAAAAGTGCACCTCGCTTTCAATTCTTGGCACATATGTACAATATAGTAGAGCTAAATTGCATGCATGATAAAATTTAAACCATTTAAATACTTCAAAAGTAATAAAAGCCATTATATATATATATGTTTGTACATACATAATATATTACAAGTGCTAAATTTATCCTATTTGAACCGCAATTGGAAGCAACTTTTGTTAAATTTTGTTAAATTATTGCAATCACTGTCGCCCCCCCTTGTTTTTAATTATCGTTAAAACCTCGCAATTTAATAGTTGGGAAGTTAATCTGAGCCGTTATACACAAATAAATAAGCCCTTATATACAAGCAACTGCAGCGGTAAATTTTTTTTCGTTTTCGCTTTCGTTTGGTCGCCGCTAGCAGCGTTGTTGTTGTTGTTGGGTTCTTGTCATTTGGGCGCGCTACAGGTTAACGGACCGTCAAGTGACGCGCTACCCCGCATTCGGGTTTTTCGCATTTGATTTTTCGCCGTCGTTTGCACCCACTATTAATTTTGATACTTCGTGCCTCGATATTCAATTTAAAAATTATTTTCGTTGTTTTTCGCCTTTAAATAATTATTTAATAATTTTTTTCGAACAAATTTAATAATTTATAAATTATTATTTTTTTGTTGTTTAATTCGAAAATTTATTTTATTTAAATTTTTCACTCTTGGTCCTTTAATAATTTACTTTAATAAATTTGGTTTTTGATAATTTAATTCAAAAATGAGCAAATAAAAGCCAAAAAGTAACCTGCTTGAAGACTTGAAAGCCAAGTTACAAAATCTAGTAAAAAGCATTCGCCGATTAAGTGATCGATTCGATTCTGGCGCGATCGCGATTAAAGAAGAAGAATTAAAATGTAGATTTGATACTTTTAACGCTGCAATTAATAAGGCAAATCAGTTGCAAGAAGAGATAGAAGATATAGATGATGGCGATGAATTTAGAGATGAGTTGGAGGAGCTATCAATTGTGACCAAGGCAAAATTAATGTCGCTCTTGTCGGCCTTGAAGACAGCAATCGATCCAAAAATTTCCGGATCAGCTTCTGTAGCCCCAACTCGAGCTCGGCTTCCGAATTTGGCCTTGCCAAAGTTCAGCGGCAAATATTCGGAGTTTAAAAATTTCATCAGCCTTTTTGAAACTCTCGTTCATCAAGACGACAGCATTCCAGTTATCGAGAAATTTAATCACCTGATTTCGTGTCTCTCCGGTGAAGCCTTAGGGACCATTAAGGCTTATCAAGTCACCGCGAGCAACTATGAGAAGGCTATGGCCAGCCTTAAAAAAGTTTACGATAACGAATGCTTAATTTTCATGAATAATATTTCCACATTGTTTACTCTCCCGAAAATGACACATCAGTCAGCGTCGTCAGTGACACAAAAATATCCAATGCAATGTTGATATATCTCGTCTTGAACAGACAGGTAGGCCCAGTGACTAAACAAAAATGGGAAGAACAGCTCGATTATGAAACTTTGCCGCTTTGGTCCGATTGTGAAAAGATGTTAAATCGCCGATATCAGCATTTATCTGCTGAGGAAACATCGAATCCAAATCAAAATAAAATAATTCCGATCAAACATAATCGAAGTTTTCGTGTTCTTCGACCAACTCTAAGTCCGTGCAAGGTTGTTGTTAAGTTTAGCGGGAAATGTTAAATTATAATACCCTAAAAATTACCAAAAAAGTGGAGTGTGGCCACAACAAATGTCTGGCAGCTCTGCTAATAAAAAGAGATCTCTTTGAATTTGAACGAACGAACAAGCAAGTCGATTTATTGTGTGCGGAAGTTTATTTTGGAAGGCTTTTTTTTCTCTTCGTTGGATCACCCATTTTTTAACCAGTTGTTTTCACGCAACATTTTGGCGCCCCCGGGTGGACATTTGGACATTTGGATAATCTGGATCTTCGCAATTTTTGGAATTTTTGACCTTTGGATTCGGACATCGCCGGCACATGAGTTGCCTTGTCAAGGAAAGTTTTCAACAGGTAACAGCATTCAATAAATTATTTGAGAGTGCAAGTGATCATTACCAATAAATTTATTGAGTGTTCAAGTACATACCTAATTTAAAAAAAAAAAACTGCTTGTGACAAATTTAAACTTGCTGATTAAAAGTACGCGTTCATCTCGGTGTTTGGCAGGCACAACTGGAAGCTGTCTGCGCACATTAAATACGAAATATATTTTATTTTGGCCATATATTATTTATTCAATTTACAATTACATACACACTACCTCTTCAACTTCAATTTTTTGTCCAGTGCATCAATACTTAGAAAATACAGTTCCCTTTTTTGCATTCTTCTTTGTGCTTGTACAGTTCGACCTTTGGAGGTTGTCATCTGTAGGGGAGAGTGGGGCATTGTCGTCACTTTTTTTTTAATTGCGAAATTTATTGATAAAATAACTTATTTTTATCATGTAATATACATGGTTGGATTCGGAAAAGATCTGGCTATAAAATGCAGTAAGTATTTCGGACATCCTCTCATTTGTTTATTAATACGAAACTGTTATCTGAAAGAAGGCAAAATTGGAAAATTGAAAAATCGTGGGGCAAAGTCGTCACCCCCCTGGGGCAAAGTCGTCACATAGAATAATGAATGCAAATATAGGTACCCATGTACACAAAACTATTTCAACTTGTCAAACACACATTTATTGATATTCATACATATAAAAAAGTGGAACACTATATTTTTTGCAAAAATTTGACACATTCAGATCTAAGTGAAGGATAGAAAGCAAAAATCACCTGTGAGTGCGCACCATTATGCTGCAAACACAAAAAAAGAGAATTTTATTTTTGTTTGAAGAACATTTTGGAGAAATTATATTTTATATTTAATACTTTACATAAACAATCACAAAACAATAATAAATTGATACGAGTTTGTATTTCAGTCTGAGATAATACAGTGACGACTTTGCCCCACCCGTTGAGTGACGACAATGCCCCACGCAACTTTTTTTGATAAAAACATGAATAACAAATCGAAACTCGAATCAGCTGTTACACAACCTACCATCTCGTGTTCGCCAAACATTTCTCAACAATAATAACTTACCTTTATACTTCTTTGATCGAAAATGTACTTGGAAGAAAAACAGTTCTGCGCCGGAGAAAAATTACTTTTGAGGCTCCGAAACACTTTCTGATGAATAAATAATTATACATAACCTTTAATTCTACCAAACTCCGTCTGTAATGTAGGAATAGTGCAATACACTTACGCTAAAAAAATTGGGTTGGTAGCCCTTATATTTTTTAAAATAATAGCGAGTGACGTCTTTGCCCCACTGACGACATTACCCCACTCTCCCCCTACTTTTCTGTGCCAAGAATTGGGTTTGCTTATGCACAGTGGGCTACTGAGTGCAAATTTGTGACAAAAATTTAACTTGCTGATTTTTTGCATTCTTCTTTGTGCTTGTGCAGTTGGACCTTTGGAGGTTGCCATCTGCATTTTACTGTAGCAACTATTGGTTTTGCTTATTTACAGTGGGCTACTGAGTGCAAATTTGTGACAAAAATTTAACTGGCTGATTAAAGTTACTTGTTCATTTCGGTATTTGGGCAGGCACAATTGGTAGCTGTCGGCGCATATTAAACACGAAATATATCATTTTGGC